TCTGAGTCTCCAGAAAGATTTTCTATTGTACTTTAAAGGCTGATAGCAGCAAGGCAACCAGCTTCTTTCCAGAGCAGGCCAAAAGAAACAATTAAAAACTCTGCTAGCATCATGACGCCCTACACCTAATTTGGTTCTTGTCGGGCGTACCATGTGACAAAATAATACCTAGTTGGATCCAGATGCCCAGGCATTGCTGCTGCTACCTCCACTCATACAGGAATGCATTAATTTTGAGCCACAGTTACTTTGGCAATGCCTTAAATAGGGGAATTGGAAGAATGGAAAGCAGCCCTTACGAAACTTGGTGATTCATCTAAACAAGTTTTGTTTCACAAATGAAAAATTTGTACCAGTCTACAGCCCGATTACCTCAGACAAATCTGCCACGATTTGTAATTATATTATTATTTTAAATTAATCCATCCGTGAATTACAGTTGTCTTTTGTTTATTCACTTGTTTAGACTGGTCTAAAAAAAATGAGCAAAGCTTTCAGCCATTTATAATAAAGGCAAAACAACTAAAAAGGCCTTTTTTTCCCTTAGTTTGCATTAATGAGTTCATCCCAAAATATATTTGCAATAATATAGGAAATTAAGTTATAAATGTAGGGATGTGCTCCAAGTCACCATGAAAATCTGCATGCAAATGCATAATAATCACAAATCTACATTATTACAATATTAAAAAATACCTACAATTAAATTATCATGTGGAAATAATCATAATGTTATTGGAAACTCAATTATTGTGGCAACCCTTGTCAAGGAATTAGCAGGCTATGGCAAAGGCAAGTCAGACCTGAATTCATCAAATATATATTATCACAATATTACATGTTCACTTCGATTCCATGCAAAGACAAACATCCTCACTCACTAGTATCTGCTCAATGCATTTGTATTATTCATGAACAACTCTGTGATCTATTATACATACAAAACTGATTGTACGCTGCTTGCCGGAGGCTACAATGCAGAGACACAGAATTAATTTTATTATATACACATGCATGATAATTGTGTAGAATTCAGTCAAATATCAAACTCTGCTCCTGTGCTCCATTATTTTACTTTCCAAAAAGAGGTCTAAGGTCAGCAGCAATTTCTCTTTGGCGACAGTGAAACTCTTTGTCATTTAGAGTAGAAAGTTCCTGGGTACTAATGAGGCTGGAGCTGTGATGAATGGTCACACATTCCCTTTCCTCTCCAACCCCCACTAATCAAAGGAAGACTGTAACTTTTATTGAGATTCTCAAGAATTCCTTGCTTCTTCGCCTTTCAGAGATGAAGGCAACACTTATGGCTTCAGAAACTTGACTAAAATTTTTGAGACAAGATAATCAGTGTAACTTGAAAAACTTGTTTTCAGATAGATTTTTATTTCTGTAAGAGCTACTTATATTTCAGTAAACTCTTAGAAATGCTTTCACAGGGCCATTTTTCCTGCGAGAAGTTTTCATTAAGAACAAATGCTGACTACCTGCCTCTTTCTTCAACAGGGCAAGGAACTCATATTATGATCTTTATCTGCTTCCAAATCTTTTCCCAGAAAGACAAAGATGAGTACCATCCAAAAAATTTATGGCTGTTTGGAGATACCAGGAGTGAGACATATAAATCCTCAAAAGAGCATTCAACAAGGTGCACCACATCAAAGTAATGGGCTGCATTCTAACATGACTAAAAGCTTGACTTCAATATGTTTCAAACTAGGCAAACGCCAGGCCAACTGGGACAAATAGCATACGTGTGAATCTCAGCAACACTAAATATCAAACCCTGATTTTTATTTATTTATTTATTTATTTATTTTAGTTCCATTCATTCTTATTATCTATCCAATATCTGAATTTTTGGCTATCATGTTCATCTGAGCTTTTGGTTGAAGAAAATTTACTCCTTACCCAGCATGTTCACAGTAGAGTCCCATTCAAGCATATTTGACATTCACTTTTGCATTAATGCACTGCTTTCAAGAGTCATAAGCAGAACGTGCATTTCATAGCATTTTTATTCTAGTTTCACAGAATTCATATAGAGAAACTGTAGCAAGCACTCTCTAAAATTTCTCTAAGTCTACTCATCAGCTAGGAGTAAACATCCTCATCTTTAAATCTTGTATGTATTTATGTCATGACCAGAGTCCATCATTTCATGTAGCTAAGAACAACACGGGATGATCTGGATTTAGTAGTGCATAGCTCACAAGTTTACCCCACAAATGTACTATAAGTGGGTAAAGCCACCATTGTTCTAATTAAGCAAAGACACAAAATCTCAAAGAATTGAGCTAACTCCTTGCCTAGTATGATGTTCCATCACAATAAATAATGAATGAACAAAATTGATCTTGGCCCGCTCATAGAATCATGGCAATCAACAACAGAAATAGAAAAAGGACAGCTCTGACAAGCCTCCAGGACAGCAGCTAAAATGCCAGAGGTGTGGAAGAAAAGACCTTTCATTGAAGACCAACACAGTAATGCATTTTATCACTAATTGTTTATAAAAGGTAAAGCTCTTAAAAATACCTGTCTTTTGGTAGGCATATGCTGCAATTTCTTTAGTGATAGTAATGACTGAGGGTGCCAGTATCTTTTGAACATCTCTTTCTTCCATGGTAAATCCATTTATTTCCTGCCATATCAGGCAATTAGGTGAGCAGTAGGACCTCAAGGCTCGGACAGTGCAATTTCACTTCAACCTTTGCTGTGGAAGTAGTTAACAAGACATTGGCTCAAAGAGATTTGCCTAGAGATTGTTAGCTTGACGTGCTCTGGCAGGCAGTAATATAATGGGGAGAAAGACCCTACTGAAATTGATTAATTTGTCACCATTACCCAAGACCTGACAGTTTTTTCATACATATATGAAGTGTCAGTAGTTCCAGCTTATTCCTTCGATTAGAACTAAACTCATGTAGATTGGGTTCAGAAAGAAACACAAAGTTTAAGAAATTTAGTTGAACCTCATCCAAACCACCAAACCTCTTAACCATACAAAGACATAAAAACAGTTCAGAAGATGTGTTTTTACTAAAACTGAGATTGTTGCTTTGTCTGGTGTACATGAAAATACTTCCATGGGTTACTTACTCAGCATTTTCCTGCTTCTCTTCAACTGCTGACATACACAGGAGAAAAGCATTGCTGTTAAAGCATGTTTTCCAAGCTTGTAGAGTAGGTTTATTTTAAAATCCTGTAGCTTTCAATTAGTTTGGCCAAACACAATTATTAGAAGCCACACTAGAACCACCAGGTAACCAGCAAACAGTTCCAAAGACAAGTGTTCTTGTTATTTCTTCAGTTAACATTTATTTTGCACGTATCCATAAAATCACTACATGGAAAGACTGTGTATACACAGAACAAGTCTTGGCTTCGTTTTCTTGCCAGGCAGCATTGCTCAAGCACAGACCTCTTGACATTTAATATTCATAGTGCAGAAGCATCTACTGATTCCAATAAGAACCAAGAAAAGTTACAAGAGATGCCATACCAAGAAAGAAGTCACAGTTCTGCCTCAAAGTATTCGCAGTTATATAGATTGACAAATCAACTATTTCCACTGTGTATGGTGTAAGAAATATTTTTCAGAGATCTTCCAGTCACCTTTAAAAGGAATTGATAGCTCTATATAGTGATGGATAGGACATTACTTCAGCAGCTACTGAGGCAAAATATCTATACCACTTTACCTTTGTGCATATGTATTTTATGTCAGCAGAAAATTCAGCATGATAGTGTTAGCAAAGCTGAATCTTATTCAGAAGACAAAAAAATAAAATTAGGCCAAAATTATCTACGAATAATTAACTTTTTTTTTTTTTTTTAAATTTTCATCCTAACAGAAACAGTTTGACGTTTAATTTCAGAATTCAGTACTTTTGCATTTATTTACTTTTGAGAGATGCACCCCTTTTCCAATATTTCCCTCCCAATGAGAGACGGCCTAATAATGGTTTGCCTATGTCTGTGTTAATAGAACTCTTATTTTCACTCTTAATTAATGGGGGGGGAGGGGGACGAAAACAAAACAAGTACTTCGGGGGAGTCAGGAATTGAAAAAAAAATGTTATAATAATAATAATTTTCAAAAAATCAAATATTTGCATAGTCCTCTTGGCCATGATCCAATGATGCCATGCCTTCCTAGGAGGCATAATAAGACAGAACAGATTACCTTTGAGGTGAGTTTAGTGTTCTTTGGTAAATGCGCATTACTGGTTGAGAACAGCTTTCCCAAGGCTGAACAGAGCTGGGTGGGATCAGGGCTTAGGAGTAATGTCCTCCAGTCACATAGATCCCCAGCTCTATCTTCAGCAGCCCACTGACAGCCACCGGCAACCCAAATCCCCCAAATGAGACAGTACAGGATGCTCCTTCAAATATCTCCTTGATGCCAAGAATGTTTCTATGGTAATTCTGCATACAAAATTACAGGCTTGTGCTGTGTAAGAGGCTGCACGAGGGCCCAAGGAGATGAATAAGCCTATCTAAGGTTGCGCATACCCAGGGGGCTTCCATTATTTTGGGTGCAAGGAAATACAAAGATGGAATAATAACAATGTTGTGCTGCACTTCAATTGTTAAATTACTTCAATACCTTGCTCACAGATGTGCGCAAGTGAATCTAATCAAGCAACTCCTCTAAGACAGCAAAGATTATTTTGAGAGATTATTCCTTTTTCTACTACGGAAAAAGAAGTGCCACCCGTTGGGGATCATTTGTATGTAGGTGCATGTGTGTGCACACAAACACAGACACTTTTCCTCTTTGAGCACACAAAAAAGCCAAGAGAAAAAAAAATCCCATATCTAGAACACTATTCTGAGAAAGATGGGACTTCTAGTAACAGACTTGCCTTTTCATTCAAAAAAAAAAACCCAAAACCAAAACAAAACAAATCCATGCCAAAAACTTGTTTGATTGCTCATATACTTAATCTACTTGCACATTTGTAACAAAGAACAACAGGGTAAAAGAAAAGTTGGCATCATCAGAAATGGGTATCTGAAGAAAAAAAAAAAAAGAAAAAAAAAAAAAAGATTTTTCTATGCTACTCTAAGGCCCAGAAAGGGGAGCTTTTCAAGCTCTTCTTACATAGTTTTTGCTTCAGACTCTAAGACATTCAACAATTCAATTTGCTGTTTGATAATAGGGACCAGACTGGCTTTTTAATGCATGAAAAGTTGCATCTTTTTTCCTTTATTTTTCTCTATGTTTGTTTGTTACTTACTGACATCAAATTTCCTGCAGGCATCCTACCTTAGCAACTGAAGAAACTGCTCTGGGGTTTTCCAGGCATCTAATACACCTGGATAAAAAGTGCTAATTGTCACCAACTTCCATTAAATGACAGCAGTAAGGCACAAAATGTGCTTGATTTGCAGACACTAGTGCCACTGGGAGTTAGCAGCAGATTAATAATTGTGCAGACCTTGAACATTCCCCTGGCACTGACAGTCTGGGCTTCCAGCATAATGCCAGATTATGAGGCCTTTGTTTTTAGCTTGCCTTTCTAATGAGGCTCAGGCAATTGCAGTTTCTCTGTACATGCGTTTGACTCTTCTACCTCCCTGAAAGATTTCTGGACAATATGAATACTTTTTTTTTTTTTTTTTCTTTTTGGTGGGAGGGTAGAGATCACAAACATGCAATAGCTTCAGCAGTTTTCTAAAAAGCAGGCAGCTCGGTGGACATCATCAAGCCTGAGTTTAAGTGCTCCTAATATCCTGAAGAGAACTGAACCCTAATTTTGCTCATTTTATTACCACTAGATGTCCAAGGGAGATGTGTTGTATCACACGCTTAGCAGGCAGCAACTCTGGCATCAAATCACCTTTACTGATCATGTCAGACTATGTTCTCAGTTTTTTTCCTTTTTTTTTTTTTTTTTCCTCTATTTCATGTCATACATGGGCTTGAAGCCTTGAGTGCACATCAAGCATTTCCTTATTGCAGATATAATCTTATTCCAGCTCCCTGCAGACAAATTCAGGGGCCCATGCTTTGCCTTTCCCTTTCTTCTTGCTCTGCTGTTGCCATTTCCTCTCTGCTCTCAGCACATGTGGGCACGTTCTCTTGGCTCAGAAGAAACCATCTCATGGCATGCAAGCTTACTGACGGCTCCAGTGGCATTACAAAGCTCATTTCTGCATGCAGCAACATGATTACGGAGAAGGAGAGGGCAAGGTTGAACGAATGTGCTTTAACACTTCTTTCTTGGTATTTATGACCATGCCATAGCATTCCTGTAACCTGGCCTGCTGCTGCTCCAGCTGCTTGTGCAAGCTCCTGATGGAACGCAACAGCACAAGTCTTCGGTACATTGCTAGCTGGAGTCGGTACTTCTCCTTTTCCTCCTTTTTCTTGCTTTCTAGGGTCTCCATTACTGTTGTGGTCTTCATCCAGATGGCTGAACTCAGACCGCAAGGGCTGCCCTCAATGCAGCTCTCCACAGGCCACACGCTATCAGCAGGCACGTGGCAGCACCTGAGGTTGTTCTCCAATAGGGCCACGACTGCCCTGGGGGGCTCACCAGCCTCCTCAGGCACCCCAGGGACACACGATGCTTCTGAATCTTGGTCACAGCTACAGTAGATGCTTTCAGAGCATGGTGAGGCAAGGCCCCCAACCTTGGGTTTATAGACTGTTGTAGAGCAGGATGAGCCTCCTGCTGACGCACTGACAGCCATCAGGTGGTGCTTGGCCAAGGCAGAAGCCTTGCTCTGTGCATGGCTGCCACTGATGACCACTGATGGTCCAGCAAGTGCTTGGGCCACAGCCTTGCTAGAGAGGACAGACAGTCTTTCTGGCATCTCTGAGCCTCTGTTGCCTTCACTAATGCTGTCATAACAATCAGGGAATGCTGTTTCAGCATCGTGAAATGGGTCTTCATCACAGTTTTTCTGGGTCTCCGCTTCATCTCTTGTTACTGCACATGTTTCCTCAGCCATTTATTGCATGAGCTACAGAAACTTTCTGCGGACAAAGTGGAAGCATGAGGATTTCATTTCCACATACACAGAGGCACACACACAGCAGACCTATGCAGGGTGACATTTGAAGAAAGAATCTCTCCTTGTATTTAACCAATGGACCTATTAATTTTCTAATAAAGCACAACCCTTGGGTCACTTCAGGCCATTTCTTGTGATTTGCATTGGATGTTCTTCGAGACACAACATTAATCCAATAATAATTAAAATGATAAACTGTACTATTAACATTCTCAAATCTTTAAAGCAAAGTGATCTATCCCTGCAGCACTGGCTTTGCTGACTAATTAAACAGAATACAGTTGTAAATGGCTATTGTAAGCACTTCTCCCATTTAAGAACACAGCTCTAGCAAGTGTAGTTCGTAGAGACGGGTGAGTTATCAGGATTGATCTGCCCTAAAGAGGTGGATGTACCACAAACAGCAGGTTTCATTTAAATGCCCTCTCTGAGATTAATCAGACTGCTAGCAGTTTGTTTACAAGGTTGCCTTTCTCCCTCCTACTAACTCTGTCAGCAGAGCGATAATAGTACTATGCTAGCCATAGACAGGAAAAAAAGAATACTTACCGAGGTTAGTGGGGGAAAGAAAAAGAGTTACAGTGCATTGTGTCTGCGCATCATGTTTTCCCGAATATGAGTCAGCAAAAACTGGAACAGAAACATCACTGTGAAGAAGCAGGAGCAGCAATAGCACTACTCTGTTTCACCCAGCAACAACAGAGTGAATCCCAATCACTGAGAAGTGAAGGGCTGACTTCACCCCCCCTGCCCCTCCCCCCTTCCTTATTAAGAGAATATTCTTCCCTAGTGTTGAGCTTTTATGTCATATTTGAGTACCAAAATGAAAACTGGGATTGGATGACATTATTTTTCAACCACAGATCCAAACACACCTAATTTACTCAATATACGGGGATGATACAAATGGCCCATCCTGTCTCTGTCAATCAGCAAGGAGCAAATACAGCTCCCAGAAGAGTGCAGGACATTCTGGACTCCAATGCATACATGTTTTTCTTCAGAGAAAACAAGCTTAGATAAACTTTAGATGCATGAACCCAAGATGAAACAAGCTTTTGGCACCAAATAAATGGTAAGCATAAAGGCAGCTAGAAGCTGTACATTTAAGTGTTTAATACACACTTATACTTAATTATGGTGACCTAATCTTTCAGAAAATAAAATAGTGCAGCCAACTTAAATATCTAATAGAACAGTAAACTTCATCTGCACCTTTGATGTTTAGAAAAGCTATCTTCAGCATCTTCCCCCACTTGTAAGGAACAAAATTCAAAAACTATCTATCTGCATCTACTTTTGTGAATCTGCCACAGGGCTTATGCTGCCCTGAGGCTTTCTCTACTTTATTCTCTTAATATGAATAAAAGAAAGAACCAACCCAAAATATTTCCTAGAATCTTCCTGGAGCTGGAAAGAATGAGGGTAGATTCTATCTCCACTTCTATATACAATACAACAGAGATAATTTTTTAGTTATTTATTTTTTTTAATGTTTCATCTGACTATCTCTCTCTCTCTAATTAATCTGTTAAATGAGATATAATTCCAAGGGTGGAACATCTGAACTCCAGCTAACACAGATCTATACACCAAAGTCTACTTGAACACTGTTTTCTTGTGTGTTCTAAAAAATATTTTGCACTGAATCAATGAAATAACTAATTCTACTGTGTTTATGCGCCAAAGTATGCTGCAACTAGACTATGAAGAAATTAACATACTGTGAGTAAGTAAACTTTGTAAGGCTGTATTTTAGTAATTTCCATTTGTATGAATCAGAAGTTAGGGTAATTGACAAGCACAAAACTCAGATACCAGGAGTTTTACTCCAAGAAGGATCATTCGAATACAGCATTGTGCATAAGCCTAGTTTTGGCTGCTCTCTCTCCAAAGCGCTGCAGGTATGTCTTACCATAGAACCATAGACTCCATAGAGTTGGACTAGATGACCTTTAAAGGTGTCTTCCAACCCCCCTGCAATGAACAAGGACATTTACAGCTAGATCAGATCGCTCAGAGCCTAGTCCAGCCGGGCCTTGAATGTCTCCAGGAATGGAGCATCCACCACCTCTCCGGGTAACTTGTTGCCCTGTCTTCCAACTACAAAGAGGACAGTGGATGGATGTTGTGAGGTAATACATGGTCTCAAGCTGTGCCAATATGTTTCTACCAGTCATAATATTCTGTTCTTCCCTTCTACCTTTGCAGCAATTTGCTAAAAAAAAATCAACATTTTCTAGTAGTCCAACAGGACATGATAGATAAGAGGATATATATTTTTCTAACTTTAAATCTCTCTGCAGCTTCATTTTTTTCAGCAAATCTTCATAGGCTTTTTCTTTGAAGGGAAGGGGTTTAAAAAAGCCACACAACAGATTTTTAAATAAAAAAATATTCATTTTTTATAGATGTAGACCTAGATGGAATAAGTGAGATTTGATACAGTCACCTAAACAACAACTATAAACAAAATCAAAACTCATTGAGCTAGATGGCTCTTTACAGAATGTGACTACTTCTGTGGTGATCTATGAAATTCAACATAAGAAAAAAAATCAGTCATTTAAACTTAGAGCTTTATCACAACAAAAATACTGTAAGATATGGAGTAGTATTGAAATCCAATCCATATTTTTTTTTACTTTGTTTTCCTTTATTCATAATTTTCTAAAATTTCATCTATATGATCAGATTGAATTTTTCTAGATTCACATGGTGCCTGAAAGTGAGTATCTGTTGAACACTTCAGACAAGGATTGAGATACTTAAATTCGAAAGCGGGAACAAAAGCAAGGACTTTTCAAGAAAACAGGGAGACCAATGGATACCTTTCAGGAGAAGTGCATTCTGTGTTTATAGCTGGGATATAAGGAAGAACACAGTCTACTTCAAATGGAAACACATAAATTCTTGTTCAATTCTTGACAACAATCCTACTTTCCCAAAATTGCACAAAGTAACTCCTAAAATTTAGCTCTCTTTTATTTACAAATCAACAGGTTAATAAAGAGACAAGAAAAGACCTTGTAAAAGCTTCTTCTGTGAGAAGCACATTGTGCCATTTCACTTTATGAGGAAACTTCTGGAAGAGTTTGCAGCTCCAACTGAGAATCTGTGGTAGCCTTTATTGAATGCCTGTTGCTCATTTTGGACCTGCTTTCCAAGGTTCTGTCTGTGGGAAGCTTTCCAGGCAGAAGCTGTTTCAAATTTCACAGTGAATTCACCTGTCAGTCCAATACAACAAGTGTTTCAGGTAGGTAGAATGAAAGCAAAAACACTTCCAGTTGAGAGTCACTGCATTTTATTACTAACCATTCACAGGTAGATGTGACCACAGTAGTTTCAAGGTGTAGACTCTACTTATTTACCTCTAAGCTACCAGTCCTATACATCCTTGCAATGTCTGTGCAACAGTGATTTTTTTAATCCATCGCCTCCATGAGCTATTAGCTATGATAGGTACCTGGTAACCTGCAATCTCAGAACCATAATTGTGTTCACAAGTGTTCCATGCTTGCATATTTCTGTGATTGGGGTTTATGTCAACACATCACACAGGGACAGGAAAGGGTCAAAGAGAATTCCTGCAGAGTCACAACAGTTAACTCCCCCCTTCCACTGTAAGGCCATTCACCAGCTTGGACAGATGTGAGGACAGGAAGACTTGTTTTTTTATTAAGTACAAATGTTTTACTGAAGTTCAAAGCCTAACATTCAAACACACAAGCAGTGTCAGAAAGTAACAAGTGTTGGTGGAGATATGCCTTTACAAGACTTCGGCCTGGGATGTTACGTTGTTTTGTATTTGGGTTTGGGGAGTTCTTTTAACAAGGTAGTAAAAAATATCCTATTACACAGTAGTGTAATTCCATATTTTATATTAATTGCTCTTAAAGATCAAAAGCAATATTCTATCTGTTAATGTACACACTTGCATGGTCTCCTACGAAATCAATGAGATCCACATGTGTGCGTCTGAGACCTAAATTTCTCCCCAAAGATTCTTTAAAATCCTTTTACAGAGCAGTAAGTCATAGAAGAAAGTCATGTATTCCCTTTCTTCTGCCTCTATACCCAAGCCAGACATGAATTATTACTGCTGCTCCGAATTACACTGGACGGTAACAGTACCCAGAGGGGTCACTTGCCAGCCAGAGATTACCATTGTTCAGCACGTTCTGTTCTCACCTTCATCCATTCCTCATCATTTCTCTTTCAGTCCTCTTACACCCACAAAGAAATGCAAAATAAATGCAGCCCAGCTTCACATTAAGTCTACTGAAGAGGCTGGAATGTGCTATAGGTATTCAAGTGGCAGGCTGAAGCATGGTGGGACATCACAATGGTTTTCTATGGCCTGGCAGAAGAAAATCTGGTATATGCACAGAGCTGCAATGTAATCACATTTGCAGATAACCAGGAAGTTTTTAGACAAAAAGTGGATATGTAATTTTACTTGTGGGAAATTTTACCTGTGGGGAAAAGTTCAGCGCCTTCACAAAAATGAACATATAGGAATCCAATCAACCATCTTTATATTAAGTACAAAAAAACCACTGAAACAATCTGCCATGATTGGCAAAAATTAGTAAGATTGCTGTTAGTTTTAGCAGAACTGCCTATGAGAGATGCAAATCCCTGAAAGAGTAGCTCAGGCTAAGTTCTGAGTTGAATTTGCAAGCTTGAAAATCTCATGACAGCAGGTACCAAAACATCTTGAATGCTAGATAGGGCTTGATGACAACTTTCACCACAGTATTTCAGCAACTCAACTTATAATCCTGCTTGAGCCCCAAATATTCCCAGGGACATACAATGAAATATATACTGATATGGCTTCATAAAGATATCCAACAGCAGAATGCTTTGATTTTCGAGGCAACAGCTGTTCTCCCTGTTGTCTATATAGAGAACATTAGTCTATGATTTGAATCCATTTTAACTAAGAAAAGAATAATGCTGTCCTTGCCTAAGCAAGTACACAGTATGTGTATCCCACCATCTGATCCATGGAGCCATGCTGGTACACTGAAATAGTCACCAAGAAGTTTCTAAAGTCTTGTGAACTCAGGCATCTTCAGCTGTAACAGCAGACACTTAGCACTGCACAGAAGCTGAAGTGGAATTGGAAGATCAATGGGCACACTGATCTGGAGTCATGCTTGATTCAGTGTGCATCAGTTCACTGACTGAAGCAGGCTGACTTCTTTCAACGCAAAGTGAACTCTGCATTTCTAGAGTAAGTTAAGAATGTTCCATAACAGAAAGTAAAGGAGGAAGCATTAGATACTCAGTTTGGAGCACGTGCTCTGTGAGGTAACAGGTGAAAAGAGGAAACTTTATATTGAATTGAAAGAAACGTTAATCTTGAGAACAACAGATTTACCCCATTTAAAATTTGCGAGTTCTTTTTCCTCCAAGGAAAAGAATGGTTGTCTGTAATTCAGTACAATTGTACCAAGAAGGAAAATACAATTATAAGCTGAAAAAAAGGCTACATTGCAAATATCAGCTTCCTTCAGATGTTAGAGTGAAAAAATTTCCAAATGTCAGTGAGAATTTGATTATTTTTTCCCATATAATAGAATAAAGAAAAAGTTATGTTTAATGATATCAAAATTAAAGGT